TTGAGAGGGTCAACTAGTCACAGTTTTCTGTTTGCATAAATCCAGATTTCAGAAACATACAACTGACGATGGCTGAGTGAGGAATATTCACTTCAGTATTTTTGCAGTGCACAGTAATAACCTCAAATAGTTTATCAGTGTTATCTTCTTAAGGAGTCCTTATGAAGAGAACCAGGAAGATTTCAAGTGAAGTCTTAGGGCCAGTGTAGCTAGGATAGAGGAGTGTTTTAATTTACTATTCAGTACAACAGAAAGAATTAATAAACTTCTCTAGAGTCCAAAGAACACAAAATCAGACCTTTTGTGAGTGGATGAACCTCAGGAGTGGAGCATTGCTGGATTTTGTGTTGACCACTCAGGAGAGTTTTGCTCATGCAATTCAGCATGTCGGGAGGCTCTGTGCTAGCTCATGAATGCTGGTGTCTGAGGCACAAAGCTGAGGCTAGAAGATATTAGCTCTGCTGATGGACCATGATGTTGGCCATGAAGCTTGAAGTCACTGATCCCCGAGTCAGTAGGGTATTTAGACAACAACTCCTCAGTCAGGGGCCTTGTCCCTTGGTTACAGGGGAGCATGAACAGTAACAGATAAAATCCAGTGCTGTAAGACAATAATTGGTAAAAGTTATTTTTTTAAACTGACTTCTGTACCCAGGTTATGTTTTGTAGGTAGTTCACATATGTAAAATAGTATAATTACTGGCAAAATGATGGACATTATACTTTAGAGGAAATAACACAGCAAAGAGATTTGGCCTGTAAGAGCTCTGAAGGGAGGCTACAATTATTAGATCTGCTATAGAATTTGTTTCTGGATATTAAGTAGCAAAGGAGAATGTTTTGTTATATGGCATGCATGTAGGTCATCTTTTCTCCTTCATTTGCCCCTTCCAGTAGTCAGCAGTCACAGAGTTGTCTGTTATAGTCTTACTTTTAAAATGTCATCCATCATTTCTTCTGGACCTGCAAGAAGAAGGTTTCTCCTCCAGAAGCCTGGCTGAACTACAGCAGGGCAGCAGCATTCTTTAACCCATTGACAACATAATCACACTAAGCCCTGTCAAGGTTTATTTATTGATGATTATTATTCTGTCTTCCCCTCTACTTTCACCTCACATGCCGTTCACTCCTGGTTGCCATGGAGATGCTACACAGTATTAGTCTAACTTTAGATTAACCTCATAACCTTGCATACTTTGAAATTCTTTATGTTTCTTAGCAACTCAGCTGAATATCTCGATCTTTCAGCTATTCTCCTAGACACTGGAAGAGTGAGTTTACCATCCCTGAGCACAGGCAATGGCTGTTAGCTTGTGACAAGGGAGAAGATGATGCCTTGCCTACATGTGGGTGATCCATGCCTTTTCTCATAGATCTGCTTATGTTCACTGAAGTCACCTGAGCATGAAGGGAGTTCTTACATAGATAAGTCTTTCCAGGCTGAAGTCCTGCAAGGGTTTGTATTGCAACAGATTTTCTTTGCAGGAACAAGAGTAGGAGCTGGGGAAAAGATGAACAAATAAAATGTTAAGAATGTTGCAAAGAAATCTTGAACAAATGGAAGTTTGATAAAAAGATGACATGGATATCCACTCCTATACCAAAGTAGCATTGTGGGACTTAACCTTAAAGAGGCTTTCAGCTATTAATTGTCTAACCAAGAAAGCTGCAAAAGTTGTTAAATAGTTTAGGACACTGTCTGTAAACTATCCTTGGTATAACTCCATAGTATAGAATCATAGAATCATAGAATGTTTTGGGTTGGAAGGGACCACTAGAGGTCATCGAGTCCAACCCCCCTGCAGTCAGCAGGGACACCGCCAACTAGATCAGGTTGCTCAGAGCCCCATCCAACCTGGCCTTGAATGTTTCCAGGGATGGGGCCTCCACTACCTCTCTGGGCAACCTGTTCCAGTGGTTTACCACCCTCATTGTAAAGAATTTTTTCCTTATATCTAGCCTAAACCTACCCCGATTTAGTTTAAAACCATTACCCCTTGTCCTAACGCAGCTGGCCCTACTAAAAAGGTTTTCCCCCTCTTTCCTATAGGCCCCCTTTAGGTACTGAAAGGCCGCAATCAGGTCTCCCCGCAGCCTTCTTTTCTCTAGACTGAACAAGCCCAACTCTCTCAGCCTGTCCTCATAGGAGAGGTGCTCCAGCCCTCGGATCATTTTAGTAGCCCTCTTCTGGACCCGCTCCAACACTTCCATGTCCTTCTTGTGCTGAGGGCTCCAGAGCTGGACGCAGTACTCTAGGTGAGGTCTCACCAGAGCTGAGTAGAGGGGCAGAATTACCTCCCTCGACCTGCTGGCCACGCTCCTCCTGATGCAGCCCAGAGTACGGTTGGCCTTCTGGGCTGCATCAGTCAACAGAAGAATCAATTAATTGAATCAGTGATTCAATGTCTCAGTAGAAGTTCCTCATGAGAATGTAGTAAAGGAGGGAAAATCTCTAGGCAGCAGCATTCATTCATGCATCTCTAGCTGATACAAACCCCAGCATTCCTGAGCGTTGCAAATTTGTAATGAACAGAACAGTGTCAGGAAAATCTGAGTAAGTCCCCAAACAAGATGTGCCTACACCAGTGATCCTGGAGACAAACAGTCTCCATCTATTTTCTAACTACCCATTCATAGGAGATGGCAATAAGGCTATGTTCATTTACTTAAGCATCTTTAGGCCCATGTCAGACTTCAGATATTTACAAAAATATTTGGTAGTCATATCACAGGACACTGGACATTTTAAATGGAAACTAAAACAAGGAAGTTTTACCTGTTTTAACTTTTTATGTTGTGCAGACCTTCCTAAGGCTGACTTAATACAGCATAAGCAGCTCTCAGAAATGTCAGAGTTTTTAAAACAATTCAGACGAAGTATTCCTAAAAGGAACCAAGTGGGAATAAGCTTGGTGCATTCACATCTAGTGCATGCTCTAGCTGTCATGTCTCATTTGGCTTCCTATTAGTCCTGTACTTTTCCTCTCTTCTCTAACCTGTGCTCTGTTTTGTAATGTGAAAAAAGGCAACAAAATATTGACAGAGCAACTGCCCTGTTTGCTGCTCCAGACTTCTGTCTGCTAGAGGCTGGAGGATGCCTTGGGAAACAGAAGTGGGTAGAAGTTCTGCTGCTCTCCTTCTCCTTGTCGTGGTTTAACCCAGCTGGCAACTAAGCACCACGTAGCTGCTCGCTCAGTTTAATAAGAGAGAAGAATAACAATAGTGATAATAATAATAGTAAGAGAATATACAGAATATATATAAAACAAGTGATGCACAATGCAATTGCTCACCACCCGCTGACCAATGCCCAGCCTGTCCCGAGCAGCGATCACTCCCCCCGAGCCGCGATCACACAGCCCGAGCTGCGACCACTCTGCCCACGACCGACCGACCGAACCAACTAACCCCCCCGAGCATGACGTTATATGGTATGGAATAGCTCTTTGGTCAGTTTGGGTTAGCTGTGCTAGCTGTGCTGTACTCCCAGCTTGTTATGCCCCTGGCCGAGCAGGAGAAGCTCAAAAAGTCCTTGAGTAGTCTGAGCACTACTTGGCAACAGCTGAAAACATCAGTGTGTTATCAACATTCTTCTGGTACTAAATCCAAACCACAGCACTATGCTAGCTACTATGAAGAAAATTAACTCTATCCCAGCCGAAACCAGGACACTCCTTTTTTGAGGAATAGTTGGGACAATTTCTTTTGTACCACTTCTGTAAAAACCCACTGTGTACTTATCTGGATTTCACATACATTGCAGGCCAGTTTCTTCTCCTCATAGACTCGCATATAGCAGTAGATGGGAGGGAACTCTAATTAAACAGAGACTGAAAAACTTCAGACCATACTTCCCACCTTTTTTAGGGTAATTAATTTAATATAACTCCAACCTCTGTCCCTCCTTTTTGGAATACAGCAAGATGCTTATGTCTACCTACCCCTTCTCCCCCACCAAAACATCAAGCCCAAGTATTCTGACAATCAACCAAATTGGTAAATGTCATCAGAAATGGTGAATTTCAGAACTATGTTTTCTCTGACTAGAAAAAAGTGCAGAAAAAGCAAGTTCTGACCAGAGCAGCTGTCCAGAACTTGGATGAGTCACACCACATACAGGATTGCTCTGTATTTTTTGGAAGAAGTGTCCGTTTATCACAATCAGAGTTTGCTAAAGAAAACTGCTAAACTGTTTTAGTATCTCAGTTATTAGACTGCATGGCCTGGGACAGAAAATCAAGGGGATTCTAAGAAATGGGTTGAATTTATTAAGAGTTTAGGATGGCATTCAGATCAGAGTCCTGAGGGAATTGGCTGATGTAGTTTCCAAGACACTCTTCATGATATTTGAAAAGTCATGGCAGTCAGGGGAAGACCCTTGGGACTGGAAGAAGGGAAACATTGCACCCATTTTTCAAAAGGGTCAAAAGAAGGACCCTGGGAACTACCGACCTGTCAGCCTCACCTCTGTGCTGGGAAGATTATGGAACAGATCCTCCTAGAAGCTATGCTAAGGCACATGGAGGACGGGGAGGTGATTTGTGAGAGCCAGCATGGCTTCACACCAAGGGCAAGTCCTGCCTGACCAACCCAGTGGCTTTCTATGGTGGGGTGACTGCATCAGTGGACAAAGGAAAAGCAACAGATGTCATCTGTCTGGATTTCTGTAAAGTCTTTGACACAGTCCCCCCACAACATCCTTCTCTCTAAATTGGGGAGAGATGGATTTGATAGGTGGACTATTTGGTGGATAAGGATTTGATTGGATGGTCACATCCAGAGGGTAGTAGTCAATGGCTTAGTGTCCATATGGAGACCAGTTACAATTGGTGTCCCTCAGGGGTCTGTACTGGGACCAGTGATGTTTGATATTTTCATCAGTGACATAGACAGTAAGATCAAGTGCACTCTCAGCAAGTTTGCAGATGAAACCAAGCTAAAAGTGGTGCAACTGACACACCAGAAGGACGGGATGTCATCCAAAGAGACCTGGACAGGCTGGAGAGGTGGGCCTGTGTGAACCTCATGAGGTTCAACAAGGCCAAGTGCAAGGTCCTGCACCTGGGTTGGGGCAACTCCCAGTACCAATACAGGCTGGAGGACAAAGGCATTGAGAGCAGCCCTGTGGAGAAAGACTGATGGATGAAAAGCTGGACATGAGCCATCAATACGCGCTTGCAGCTCAAAAGGCCAACGATACCATGGGCTGCATCAAAAGAAGTGTGGCCAGCAGGTTGAGGGAGGTGATTCTGCCCCTCTGTTCCGGTGAGACCCCACCTGTAGTGCTGCATCCATCTTGGGAGCCCTCAGCACAAGAAGGACATGGACCTGTTGGAGCGGGTCCAGAGCAGGGCTACAACAGTGTTCCGAGGGCTGGAGCACCTCTCCTATGAGGACAGGCTGAGAGAGTTGGGCTTGTTCAGCCTGGAGAAAAGAAGGCTGCGGGGAGACCTGATTGCGGCCTTTCAGCACTTCCTATAGGGAGCCTACAGGAAAGACGGAGACCATCTTTTTAGTAGGGCCGGTTGTGACAGGACAAGGGGTAATGGTTTTAAACTAAACCAGGGTAGATTTAGACTGAATATAAGGAAGAAATTCTTTACAATGAGGGTAGTGTAACACTGGAATGGGTTGCCCAGAGAGGTTGTTGATGCCCCATCCCTGGAAACATTCAAGGCCAGGTTGGATGGGGCTCTCAGCAACCTGATCTAGTTAGCAGTGTCCCTGCTCGCTGCAGGGGGATTGGACTAGAGGACCTCTAAAGGTCCCTTCCAACCCAAAGCATTCTATGATTCTATGACACTAGGTTTCAGTGCACTGTACCTAATGTGAAGAGAGTTAGCTCATTTCTAAAATTATCACTACTCTTTACATCCTCACTGAAATACTCCTAATGAAACCAGTGGGAGTTTTAGTTGAAAGGCTAGATTAATGAAAAGAAGAGGATGAAATACGAAAAATGTAGAAGAGGAGAAAATTGCTGATTAAATATCCAGACTTCCTGTACCTTATTCTTACTGAGTTCTAAATTTCTCTATTAACAGTAAATAACACACCTTTGGTTGTCAGTCATATTACATGTCATGTAAAAAGCTTAGCTTTGTTCAATTAATACCAGTCAAGCAAATTTTTTATTCTTAAAAAAGATCTTCCAGAAAAGTGTGCAACTGAAGTCATAAAAAATTAACCTAAAGTCTTATTAAATATGGTTTCTATAGACAGCTTGTTACTGCAACCTCCTTCTGTAAACAAGATCCAATTTACTGTTTTGGTTTAGAAATTGCACCACAATCATATTTACTAAAACTTGCTGAATTTCCCCTGAGCTGGATGGGATTTAAATTGCTAATACCAAATCTGAATATTGAGGAATATTTCTGTAAGGAAAGTTAGATAGAGGACCAAAATTATTCTTCCTCTCATTTCACTGATTTCCACAGAGTGAAGCTGAAGGTAAATTTACCTTCAAGTTATGTTACTGGAATGCAGGGCAAAAAAAGACAAGACAAAGGGTGTAGTAACCAAGAAGGAATTGTGTTTATATAATTAACTGAGAATCAATCAGAGACATGTGGGAGAGAATTATAACTACACCTCAGAATAGCAAAACTTCATTTGTTTTTCTTATAAATTAAAGCTCAGAGGAATGATTATCAATAGGTTGAATCAAGTGCAATACTGTTCAGCCAGGCTTGAAGCAAATTTGAATACTGGGCAAGTATTTGAGTTTATGTAAACCCTTTTGCCACTGAGAGTGCTGTTAATATGATGCCAGCTGGCTTAAGTTCAATTTTGCTCGATTCAAGTGTCTGCGTCTAAGAGGTTGAGGATATCCATGTATTCAAACTGCTTGTGTTGGTCTTGAAAACCTTAGGCAAAGCAGAGGAAGTAGAAGCAACCCAAGCCAGAATTGTTTAATGTCTGGGCTATTTAATATTCAATACTGAGCCTCTGTCAGCTTTAATGCTATAGGGATGATGACCATTAGAATTGGTGAGAATAAAGAGCAAGTCCATGGAAATCAGAACAGATAGATACACCCCATCATGAGACATGAATCAGGTCCTACCTGGTCTGAAACTGCACAGGGTCAGGTTTTACAAGGGAAATGAACATCATCTGGGTCATTTCCCTTTTCATAATTTTATTTCCAAATGGGGTAGGCCAAGGTAGACAGGCATTACTTCAGAAAACAGCTTTCCATGGTAATACTTCCCCATTGTTAAAGTAAAATAAATGAAAATACTGTTTGTTGAACTGTATTCCGACTGTCAGGAACACAACCAGCTATTTATCTTCCCAGGAGACCATCTCCTTTTTACTGACTGCCATTCTATTTATATATAGAATCTGCTTGGTAAACAAAAGATTTATTCATTTCTCAGGAAAGGGTCAGCACTTCTCCTAGGCACAAATTCCATCTGCTGTCAGATCCATTGTATCAGCTAATAGTTAAAGACAGATGGGAGATGATTTTCTTTAGGAAACCATGTCTGTTTCACTACAGAAGAAAATAATAGTTTATTAATGTCCAGGAGAATTAGCAGCTTGTTTCAGATCTTTCTTGAAGGGTGCTAATTCCTAGAAGGGATTTGTCTTGTAATATTTTCAGCTTGGAATGTATTTCAGGTTTTATTCCAAGTCCTGTAAGTCATGACTCTTGGGAATATCTATTCACACAAGTCCTTGGTTAGTTACATCAGGTACTGCCGGAGGGGTATAGCAGTTTGGTTTTCTTTATAAACTGAAAATACACCCAAGAAATTGGGTAAACATTGTAGCCCCTCACTGCCTGGGGCTCCATAGAGCCTTAAGTGCTCTGCTATCAACTTGTAGGTTTGAGACCAGGTAAGCTGTCTTTACACTACAGTCACAACGGCCATAGCATAAACATGCTTGGGTGCTGCTTCCTGACACCATTTCCCACAATTTCCCACACCATTCTCTTCGAGAAACTGGCTGCTTATGGCTTGGAGGGGTGTATTCTTTGCTGGGTAAAAAACTGGCTGGATGACTGGGCCAAACAGTTGTGGTGAATGGAGTTAAATCCAGTTGGCAGTCGGTCACAAGCTGTGTTCCCCAGGGCTCAGTGTTGAGGCCAGTTCTGTTTAACAGACCTGGCCTCAACAGATCAATGACCTGGACAAGGGGATCAAATGCAACCTCAGTAAGTTTGCCAACAACACCAAGCTGGATGGGAGTGTTGATCTGCTGGAGGGGAGGAAGATTCTACAGAGGGACCTGGATGGGCTGAAATTGATGGGCCAAGGCCAATTGTATGAGATTCAACAAGGCCAAGTGCCGAGTCCTGCACTTGGGTCACAAAAACCTCATGCAACGCTACAGGCTTGGGCAAGAGTGGCTGGAAAGGACCTGGGGGTGCTGGTCAACAGCCGGCTGCATATGAGCCAGCAGTGTGCCCAGGTGGCCAAGAAGGCCAACAGCATCCTGGGTTGTATCATAAATAGTGTGACCAGCAGGACCAGGGAAGTCATCCTTCCCTGTACTTGGCATTGGTGAGGCTGTACCTTGAATGCTGTGTTCAGTTTTGAGCCCCTCACTACAGGAAGGACATTGAGGTGCTGGAGCATGTCCAGAGAAGGGCAATGAAGCTTGTGAGGGGTCTGGAGCACAAGTCTGATGAGGAGTGGCTGAGTGAACTGGAGTTGTTTAACCTGAAGAAGAGGAAGCTGACGGGAGACCTTATCACCCTCTACAACTACCTGAAAGGAGGTTGTAGCAATGTGGGTGTTGGTCTCTTCTGGCAAGTAACAAGCAATAGGATGAGAGGAAATGGCCTCAAGTTGAACTAGGGGAGATTTAGATTATATATTAGGAAAAATTTCTTCATGGAAATGGTTGTCAGTCTTTGGAATGGGCTGCCCAGAGAAGTGGTTTTGTCCCCATCCCTGGAGGTATTTAAAAGATGGGTAGATGTGGCATTTAGTGACATGGTTTAGTGGTGGATTTACCAGTGCTCAGTTTGACTTGCTGATCTTAAAGGTCTTTTCCAACCTAAATGATTCTATGTTTCTATGTTTCTTTGACTTCTAGACCTGCTGCTGGTGAACTGAAGCTCAAGTGACCCCGGCTGGAACAGCAACGGGATGCAGCACCGCAAATACAGATACTGGTTTCATCCATCCATTTTATCTGGCTGTAAATCTAATCTGTTCATGAGAATTCCTGTTGTTTTCTAGTATGAATGCCTTTGCTTGCACTAGTTTACCTTGAGTGGAGTAACTAGAGGCAAAGTCTTCTCCGTGCAGAAAATTATGCAGAGATGCCAGCACTACCTTTAGGCCAGGAAGCTGTATAATCTAATCAGCCTGTCTCTGTGTCTGAAATAATTAGTTCTGATGAAGGGCAGGACCTGCTACTTTGTCTGTATCACCGTGCTTCACTGACCTACTCTTAGACCTGAGCCAGCGTTTCCTGTTCTGCTTTTATTTACCTTCATCTTCTAGGATAATGCCTTTCATTAGCAGCCACAGTGATGACAAAGGCAATACCTGACTTTAACTTGAGCTGTAACAAATGGCTGTAGAACTGCATCTGCCTCTCTGAAGCTGCAGTAATATAGAGCAAGGTTTCACATTGGGCTTCACCCTGAGAGGCACCAGCTTCAAGGGTGAGAGGATTTAGCATTTTGTCAGGTGCAGCCTTTGATGGAGGCATCGATGGGCACGCACACATCCCACGCTCATAAGAGCACAGAGGAGGCTCCTTTCTGACAGAGTAGCTGTACTCCAGCGCTATCACCTTCTAAAGTTCCTATTAAATTTCTGCATTAATTAGTCTCAATCAAATTTACAGTACATTTCTTATTAGGATGCCATTATATTTGCCTTGTGTTGTTTTGGATGTCACATCCATTACACTCCTCACTGAACTCTGCAAACACTTTCTCTGGTCTTGCAGACAGGTCTGGACCACACAACTGGATACAGTTTTCAGCCATTCATTCAGATTTCTTTGAAATCCTTCCATTTATCTTAATATCAAATTCCATGTATGTCTTCACCAAATATTAATGATGAAAAAGTAATGTCAAGCTTCTCAGCTGTTGTAAACATCTTCATGTTTTACCTGCTTTAGTCCATTAAATCGTCACTGTTTATCTTCACATCACAACACTTGACTTCTATTTTATTCTTAATAATGGTAGACATAAGCTATATTTTTCCTTTTTTTTTGGTGATGCTGATTTAAAATATGCCACTTCACATTTAATTGCTGGTTTCTACACATCGTCATGAAGATGCTAGGGGAAAATGCCTGACCTGGAATTCCAGCCTGTGCTCTGGGACTGATGTTTTGGTTTTGGGTAGAATTTTTGCCAGCTGATGGGTCTTACAGAACTTGTGTTGCTATACAAGGTACACTGTTTCTGAACTGTGCCTGATCA